TGCCCTACCGTAAGAGAACTAGGTTATGGAACAACCTGAACGGTAGATGGACGCCTAAACCGTTATGTAAAAGGGACCGCGGACAAATGGCAGGGAACAAACATTTACAAACGGCACAACGAATGCCAAGATGTAAGAAGGATATGTGGAAAAAATCACAAGCAAAGCGATTTGTAGGTCATTCCGGAAAGTTTGATTAAGGAGATATTCATGTCTTTAAACCAACAACAACTCGTGTCGCAAGTATGGTTTTTGTAGTCCTTCCAGTTTGCAAGTCCTGTTCCCCATCATGTCATACTTTATTTTTATGAAACATAAATAATCAATAACTGATGATCCTGAAAAAGATAATAAAAACAAAAAATAAAAAAATAAACAAACAGCACAAAAAACAATCACAAAATGTGTAAGCACAACAGACAACAAACAAAAAACAAAAAACAAACACACATAAAACACAATTAACACAAGCACCCAGAACACGTCTATTTGTTCTGCTTTTTTTTTCTGTTCTAGCAAAAGCTGGCCTTGAAATCAGGTTTTCTGTAAAAAACCTAGGAAAATACAAAAAAATAAACAAAAAAGACACAAACAATAAGCAAAAAAGAAACAAAAACAACACAGCTCGAAATGGAGGGAAGGACGGTCTTTGACCGGGTTTTCTGTTTTTGTATTTATTTTGTTTTTTTTTAAATATGTTTAATGATTTCCAGTCTTTGATGGGTCTTGATAATCATAACTTTATTTCCTTTACTTTTGTAACTTTCCTTTGACCACTTTGAATTGTATTCCTTCCTGTCGGTGTAGTTCCCCTTCCTCTTATGAAAGTATTTTACCATATACCCTGCGAGAGGGGGCATCCTCGGGCTAGGGTAGGCCCTATCATAGGCCCCTATCCTAGGGCTAGCCTGGGCCTGGGATAGGGGGGGGTCCGGGTAGGCCCTATCATAGGGGGGGTCCTAGGGCTAGCCTAGGGCCTACCATAGGGGGGGTCCTAGGGCTAGGGTAGGGGCCTACCATAGGGGGGGTCTTAGGGCTAGGATAGGGCCTACTATCATAGGGGGGGTTTTAGGGCTAGGCTAGGGCCTATGCTAGGGCCTATCCTAGCCCTAGGACCCCCTATGGTAGGCCCTACCCTAGCCCTAGGACCCCTCCTATGATAGGCTCTACCCTAGCCCTAGGATACCCTAGCCTAGCCCCCCTTGCCTCCCTGCCTAGGGGGGTAGGCTAGGTGAAGGGAAGGCCTATCATGGGACTTCTGTGTGGCCCTTAGGCAATTTTTCTGTACTACCTACCGGTAATAGAAGTTGTAGATCGCATTCCGACATAATGCTGAACCTGCGATTTCTCTAATTATTCTATTATTCGCAAGCAAACCGCCTCATCAACTGGATGGGAACGATTGGGAACGCAAATGCCTCCTCCTTCTCTTCGCCAGAGAAATCCGCGACGTCGAAGACAATCCGCCGCACTCCCAAGAAGGTGCTAATCTTAGAGGCTGAGAAATCACAAGACTTCCCAACAAAAACAACATGGGGCCAGTCTTCGCATAGCAAAACGTGAACACAAGATTTAACTTTGACATGCTTAGCTGAGGAAGTGCTGAGTGTCAGACCAAGTGCCAAAAGACTGCCTGGCATGGCGAAAACTCCAGTGTACCGAACATGCAAGAGCTTGCGCATCCCATTCTGGCATCTTCAATGGAATAGCAGTGTTCTATGCTTATAATGTATATATCATAGGATAGGAAGTTGTATTCAGCACCAATTTTGTTCAACGTGCAGACGTGCAAACACAAAGTCTGTGCACCGAATCTTTAGGTATTACATAAAGAAGCAGGAACGTATGTGGGTAGTGATCAGGTGAAACCTGGGCATTAAAGGTGAAACACCTTCCAGCGCGCGCCTTCTTGAAGAAGATGAAAGGGAGAAAAAACAGGGAAGAAGAGCGTCGAAGAGGAATGCGCAGCATATGGCCGGTCTTCATGTTCAACATTTTGGCCATCGTGTTATGCATCACAACAGCATGTGTTGCGGCCTTCTACACTGCAGGACAGAGGCAGGAGACACAATCGGTGACGTCACTCCATGAAGAAACTTTTCGGTGACCAACAGGGTTAGTTGCCAAATAACAAACGTAAACCTCTCTGGTCTGTGCATGTTGAATCACAAATCTGTAGTGTTCTACATTGTCGGGATCATACTGTTCAATATGTCAACATACTAAACGCACCTTTGAGGGTTTCTTGGAATCAGTTGTAAGTGATTGTCAGAAGTCATAGAGAGTAGTGTTATATACCGTGTGTGTGTATATATAAACTCAGTCACAGGCTCTTTTCCTCGCGTTGCAGCAAGCTTGTCAGATTAAACCAAAACTTCAACGAAAATTCGAACAACCTCTCGGGGCCCCG